AAAAACCAAAATTAAAAAGAAATTAATATCAAAGAAATTAATTATGTAGCATTAGGAAATATTAAAGGTAGTCTTCAATTTCCACTTTTTTGTAACCCCTTCCTATTAGAATAAGAAATTTGCAGCAATACAACTTATCATGCTAAATAACGATAGGAAATATTTTGAGAGTTAATTGGATTCAAATTTAAATTTAAGAACAGCTATCCATAGGAGTAATTATGTGGAGAGGTCCATTTATTTCCAGTTAATTTGTGCAGCTACATAGCATATCAGTATTGGATAAGAGAAATTGAGTTTAACAAAAAAAAAAAAAATCTTGTGTTTAATTTCCGAAATGTTCTAAAAACTTTGCATTTTCTTTCTTGAAAAAGGATAATTATACTTTAAAGAGAAAATTTTTAAAAAAAATAATATCCCAATGGTATCTTTTCATTGTATTTCCGTTTTCTATCTCAGTTTTACCTAATAAAAAATTGGCTTTTCAAAATTCCATTAAGATCAAAAATATGCCAAAGGGATTGTTCGGCTGATACTGATTTGCGTAAAGTAAGTCGATTAAAGCATTGCTGATTCTACAAATCAGTTATTGATAATTTGATAATTTTGAATGGTGTCGAATGATGTCCTGTTTTAAGTATTCAAATTTTATTTATGCTTAAAAAATCAAATTATTTGACTAAATTTTTTCGATTATAATTAAAGCAATTTTAGGTTTTTTTTATTTGAATATTTTTTTGGATTTTTTCATTTAGATTTTTTGGTTTTACTTTTTTTTATTTGAAATTTGGTCTTTTTTGACTCGCTCCCATTTTTTCTTAATTTGCCAATGCATGCCAAATATTTGTGCATCAAAATTAAACAAAGTAAAAAGCCATTTACTGTTAATTTATCTTTTACATATGTAATAAAATTTATTGTTTGTGTTTCGTTCAAAAAAAATAAACAAATAACGATAAACAACTGCATAGAATATATTAAAATCAGTTAAAAATTAATTTTTCAGAGAAAAAAAATCCAACCAAATGCTTTTTTTTGCATTTCGTATTCAATTAGAGGAAGGTAATTTCGTGTGGAATGAAATTCGAGCATAAATATGTATAAAATATGAAGCAGATGATAAATGATAATGATAAAGGCCGAGATGAAATTTTTGATCGAATAAATTGAAAAATATATTAATTTTATATTAAAAATGAACAAATTTTTAAATGTTGGAAATTTCTGTGATCGAAAGAAATACAAGCAGTAACAAGCTATTCGACATAACTGATAAGAGATGACGTTATTGCTACATTATGAAGAATTCCTTCGCTTTGCTATCTTTATATCTGAATTTTCCATATTAATTGATTTTGTTAAAAAAAAAAATAAGG